TTATTTTTTTTATTAATAAGATTTATTGGTCCAGTGATGTTCAATTAATTTTAAGATTTAACATATCTAAATAGTAATAGATTTCTACGATGCACGGACACGGACACGGGATACGGGACACGACACGCCGACACATTAATTCTAAAAAATGTCATATTTGGACACGTTGGGACACGTTTTGATATTAAATAAAATTTTTAATATATAATATGATTTATATTTAATACATATAAGAGTCCATAATAAGTCATATAACCAATTAAATATTTAAATTTCATAACATAAATATATGTATAAATAATTTTTCATAGTTTGTTAATTTTTAATGTCAAATTTTATAACAGAAAAAAAATTAATTTATAAATTATTTCTTTTATATTTAGTTAACAAAATAAAATTAAGATTTAAAAAAAAAAAAAAAAAAATAAGAAAACGTGTCCGAGCGTGTCCCCAAATGTTGACCCCGTGTCGGAACGTGTCGGAGAGTTGATCGCGTGTCGGACGCGTGTCCGTGTCGGACACATAAATTTCAAAAAAATTCGCGTGTCCGTGTAACGAAGGATTCGATTGGTGAGAATTGCAATTCCTGAAGAAAAAAAATAAATCTCAAATCCAAAATCGGAATAATCAATTTTGTTAACGTTTTGAATATCGGTTGGCATATTAGAAAAATAAGTTTACTATATAAGTGACTTGTAGTGTTTGACAAGTGTTAATACAAATTACTTTTAAATTATAATTATTGAAAAAAATAATTTGGTCGTTCAGTTAGATTATAGTTTTACATCTTGGTGTCTCTCCTTTTTTTTATTTCTTGAATGTATTAGTCCTTTATTTAGGGATATGGTGTATTTACAAATTTTTTATTTATAAATTTTTATAAACTACATTATGTATTTATGTGAGCAATGATGGAGCCACGTTGAGGCAGGGGAGGAACTTGGCTCATGCTAAATTTAAAAAAGTAGCCACAGTATCAACACAGCTAAAAAAATGACTAATTTGCAAGCTTATTTTCAAAACATTAGTCACATTTTAGCATGGCTAAATAATTGTAATCCGGGTTAAATTTTTTTGGCTCAGGCTAATTGTTATACTGGCTCTGCCACTGTCTACGAATATATTCCTAGGGAATGTATTCCAAAAAATACATAATTGAATTTATAAAAATTTATAAATAAACATTTTCTTTTTTTCTATTAGTAATAAAGTGTTAGAAATCGACAATCCCACAAATCGCAAACGAAAAGAGAAAGAGAGAGAATAGACACAAAGATTTACCTTGGTTCACCCAATTTAGACAACATTATATTCACCTCACCACTCGTTACAAGTTATTCGATTTATAGGGAAAATATAAATATGATTAAAAAACCCTAACAACAGCTATTCATGGATCCAAACCCAAACTACTAAGAAAATTATAATAAATCAGAGACTCACAACAGCACCTAGTTTCTATGGGTTTGGCTGTCTCCCAAGATTTTTGCCCGCTCACCTGAGAGCGAAATTCCAGTTACCTTTCTGCTGACCTTAACAATTAAGATCATCATCATCATGCGAAGTATGAACCATACTCAACATAAAATATTAATCGACACCGGGTAAGAGAAAACTTGTCCATTTCTTTGTTTTTAGTAGAAGGTACGTGAGTGATTCAAAGTTCTACTACTTTCTTGCTAGTAAGTAGGGTAACGTGGCCAGCACATAAGAAATAAGAGTAAGGGACAGAGGCAGATGATTTATGGAATCCATAAAGCAATGGTCACTCCAACCCACTAATCAATTCAATTCAATTGCAACAAGTCAGAAGACGACGATGCGGATTAAGCTATGGCTCTGTTCATTTTCCATTACTCGTTCTTTAATTTCTTTCAGCTACATTTCGTATGGGTCAGAAGAACCAGCAACCATACCGACACCATTTGGCGACTCCTGGATTTAATGCTTGTTCTTTTCCCGTTAGCATTGTCTTGATTTTATGCCATTTTGCTAATCCATTCTGACCCCACTTGGCACTGTTTAACAGGTGCCAAGTTATGATTGCATAGTTGAGAGACTGATATTCCAGGCAATTGCGGTTAGTTAGAACTTTGATTTATTATTTTATGTTATGTCTATTGAAAAGATACACTTTTTAATCAAATCACTCTATCCTATCAAATTGGCTACATTTTCCTATTAATTTTTAATCAAATCACTTTATCCAATCAAAGTTGACTGTAACGTAAGTAAGTTATCATGAGTGTTATTTTATCGATGTATAATATTGATATTATGTACCATGGTTAGTGCCATGCACGATTAACCAAAAGAATGCCACGCACAGTTCATGAAACATTATTTTTATTTTTATTTTTGTAATAATTCATGAAACATTATTTATCCCATCAATATCGTGACCTTTAAAAGCTAACGCACAGAAAAAGATGGAAACGAACACAGAATATACCACACACTGAAACACAGAGAGCATCCTCTCTTTCTTTATATATATATATATATATATATATATATATATATATATATATATATATATAGGGTTTTATAATTCTCATGTTGAAGGAGAATTGAAATCTCATGTTGTTGAGATAAAAAGCATATGAGACTCATGTGTTAGAAAAAATTATATATAAGACTCATATCAGCACGGAAATCAAAGGATGTGTAGGAAAATTATAATTCTCATGTTAAATGAGAATTATAAAACCCATATATATATATATATATATATATATATATATATATGGGACAGGATCATCTTACACCGGTGTAAAAATAATAAGTCATACACCAAATCTTAACCATTGATTTTCTGCATCTAACGGTTAAGATTCATTAGGTAGCACTCATTAATTAATTTTTAATTCCCAATAAATTTCAACTGTTGGATGCACGAAAATCAACGGTTAAGATTTGGTGTAAGATTTATTATTCTTACACCGGTATAAGTTGATCTTATCCCATATATATATATATATATATATATATATATATATATATATATATATATATATATATATATAAGGATTCTGTTATGAACCCATATAAGGGACTCATTAAGTGATAGGCTCAACAAGGGACAATCCAAGATCTGAATCAATAATAATCATGGATAGATATCCGTCAAGGATACTAATCCTAATACGACAGCATAACAAGCAGGCCTAGGCCCTTATCAGAGGCACCGAAGGCCCATCCACGCTACCCACGGGTAACCTCTATAAATACAAGGTAAACCCTAAAGGTTCGTTACGCTCTCTCTCTCTTTTACTGTTATGTTGTCACTGTGCGCACTTACACACCCCATTGGCTAACGCCGTTATAGTATTCTGTGCACAGTGATCTGCTTGACTCAAGGGTATCTCCTTCATAGATACCTTGGAGAGGGCACTAGATCCAAGAGAAATATACCAGCCTATTGAGGTGGACATCTCTGTCCCAAGGACAGAACATTAGCGTCGTCTGTGGGGATTTCTTCTCTGAATTTGAAGTTCCCACTAATCTGACAAAGGATGGCAATCCAAACAAGGAGCAGTAGCCAGCAGCCACCTCAAAACCAAAATCAACCGCTGGATCCAGTTCTGGAAGAGGTAAATCAACCTCAACACCAGCTAGGAAACGATGTGGACTATGATCATGTCCATGTCAGTGAAGATGTCTCGGACACCGCTTCCACTCTAGCGCGTCATGATAGGGGCGCGACTCCAATTATGGCTCCAGTAAGGAATAACCCTCCCCATCATCCTGGGGATTTTGCTGCGCGTATTGTTCAATCGGCGGATCCAGACTCTCGGTTGGCTCAGAATACATTTGCTGCAATTATGCAGCGAATGACAGAGATGGAGAATCGTAATAACCTCCAGCGGCAACAAAACTTCCAAGTGATACGGGAGGAAAATACCAGGGAAATGCGAGACCTGGAACAACGCTTAATGGGGGTAACTGGACCAGGGGCGAGGGGAAACGAAGGCCAGAATGCCAATGGCCGGGAAGGAAATCGCAACTTGGTTCATCAGAACCGGGTTACTAAGGAGGAAAACCGTGAAAGGCTCAATCCGGTGAACACGGTGAATCCAAACTTGGAGAACCAGACAGTGGATGGTCAAAATGCCGTTGTTCAGGCCTTAACTCAAAACGCCTTAGCAGAAGCTAATGGGCAAAGAGACCGGGATGGAATCCACCCCAACCAGAATGCACAGATCATCAGAGGGCGCGTGGAACTCGGTGGGTATAGAAGGAAGTACAGCAGGGGGCAGTATAACAACAACCCTTTCACTGGTGAAATATTGAACGCTCATTTTCCAGAGAATTTCGACTCGACACGCTTGCCAAAGTACGATGGAAGTCAGGATCTACAGGTCCACATAGATGCTTTCGATACGAACATGTATATCCGAGGAATTGATGAACCCCTCATATCCCGGATATTCGCCATAATCCTAACTAAGGCAGCGCAGGCATGGTTTTCAACCCTTCATGCTAATTTCATCGAATCTTTTGAGGAATTCGGACAAAAGTTCCTCTTTAACTTTGCAACCAGCAGAAAACATCCAAAGTCTGAGTTCGCACTGGGAAAAATACGTCAACAACCCGGAGAAACCCTCCAGAGATACCTCAATCGGTTTAAGGACGCTGCATTGCAGGTACCGGGTTTACAAGAAAATGTCCACATACATCTCATTGTGACTGGTTTGGATGGGGCATCCAGGCTAGCCAAGTCTGTTTATAAGGACCCAGTGAGGACGTTGGAAGAATTCAAAACCCGTTCGAAGAAGTACCTCGAACTCGAGCAAATGGAGATTGCAAATGTGCAATTTGAAGAGGGTAAAAGAATTAGCCCGAGAAGGAGAAGCCCGGCCCCGAAAGGAAAGGAACGAGTTGACAATAAGAAAAAAGAGTCTAGGGCCAGAATCCCGGACGGCCGAGATCGAGTCGGAAGATATGAGAAGTACACACCGTTGAATGCACCACGCTCTTAAATTTGGAGGGAAGTGGCAATGACGAAGATGAAGAAGGTAGAAAGACCCCGACCCATATTCGACAGAGGAGGTTTAGACAAGTCCAAATATTGTGCCTTTCATGACGGACCGGGTCACACTACTGATCAATGCTGGGATGTTCGAGATGTTGTGGAGAAATTCGTTAGAGATAGAAGATTACGCCAGTATGTGATCAAAACCCACGGTTCCAAGAAAACAAAAGGAAATCGGGAAACATAAAGAGAAGTAAAAGCCTGGTTCCTGAAAAGAAAAGCAAGGATGAAAGGAACCAAAAAGATGATTCCAATCAGGATGAGTTCCCGGAAGCAGAATTTGACTGCGATGTAATTAGTGGAGCCCTTGGAGGAGGAGGAGACACTGTAAGTGCCAGAAGAAAGTATTTGAAAGAGGTACTCTCTATTCGAGATCGTCCTAAATTCAAGGAAGACCTAAGCAAACCAGATCCTCCTCTCTTGTATTTTACAAAAGAAGACATGCATGGTGTGTTGCAGGGACACGTAGACGGATTAGTCATTGCTGGAACCTTGGTAAATTGTCGGGTTAAGAAGATTTTCGTCAATGCAGGGAGTAGTGCCGACATCATACTGAGGGATGCTTTCAAAAAGATGAACCTGGATGAAGAGGACCTCAAACCTTGCAAAACGACTTTGATAGCTTTTAATGGATAGCACACACCTCCTAAAGGCTACATAGACCTCAGGTTGACCTTGGGATAAAAAAAAGCATTCAAATCAGAACGTGTGAGATTCAAAGTGGCTGATTTCCCATCAGAATATAATATAATTTTGGGAAGACCAACCATACACCAATGGGACATGCTGGTTTCCACGAAGCACCAAAAAATAAAAATGATAAGCAGTAAAAATGAAATAATTACTGTTTGTGGAGATCAAAAGGAATCCATAGGATGCTATTTTGACACAGTCAAAGAGAATAAAGACAGACATTCGAGTCCTCCTCGGATTTATCCGGGGGACAAACTCGGCAGGGAGACAATTCCTCACTATTCAAGGAAGCCCGTTAACGTGGTTGAACTTGACATGAGAGAAGAAATAATCTCGAGGCCTGAGCCTGATGGAGAATTAGAAGATCTTGCATTGGGAAAGAACCAGGTCAATTTACCCGAATTGGTAAGACTATAGATCCTCAGATCAAACAACAGCTAGTCGGGTTCCTCAAAAGCAACACGGAAGTGTTTGCTTGAAGTTATTAGAGATCCCAGGCATAGATCTTGCCTTCTGCTGCCACAAGCTGGCAGTTTACCCCGGATCCACGTCGGTTTCTCAAAAGAAAAGGAAGTTGGGACCAGAAAGGAAACAAGTCCTAGAGGAACACGTGAAGAAGTTGCTGGATGCTGGGTTCATTCGAGAAATACAGTACACAACATGGCTTGCGAACGTGGTGATGGTGAAAAAACCAAACGGGAAATAGAGAGTCTGTACTGATTATACGGACTTGAACAAGGTCTGCCCAAAAGACTACTACCCTATGCCTAACATAGACCAGCTGGTAGAAAACTCGGATGGATTTAAATTATTGTCTTTCATGGATGCATATTCTGGTTACAACCAGATTCTAATGTAATTAAGAGATCAAGAAAAAACCACCTTCGTTACTGAAAAGGCCAACTACTGCTACAATGTGATGCCGTTTGGGCTCAAAAACTCAGGGGCAACTTATCAAAGGATGATGAATAAGGTGTTTGAAGATCAGCTGGGCAAAAATGTAGAAGTATACATTGACGATATGATTGTAAAGTCATTTGATATAACAAATCATGTCCAGGATCTTGAGCATACTTTTCAAAAACTCAGGAAGTATCGCATTCGTTTAAACCCGGTAAAATATGCGTTTGGAGTTCCAGTTGAGAAGTTTTTGGGTTTCATGTTAACCCATAGAGGAATTGAAGCAAACCCAGACAAGTGTAAAGCAGTGCTTGATATGAAGGTACCCCATAATAAAAAGGAGGTTAGCAGTTAACTGATAGATTAGTTGCATTAACCCATTTCTTGCCAAAATCTGCTAAAAATGCCCTCCCCTTCTTTAAATTGTTAAAAAAGAAAGGCTGGAATCCAGAATGTCAAGCCGTGTTTGAAAAAGTCAAGAAATGTTTGGCAACCCTACCAGTACTCTCAAAGCCAGAACTAGGAGATACTCTAATCCTATACCTGGCTGTGGGTGAAGAGGCAATAAGTGCTGTCCTGATCAAGGAAACTGATAAAGACCAAGAGCCGATTTATTTCACCAGCAGAGCCTTGCAAGGTGCAGAGGTAAGATATCAAAAGCTGGAAAAGGTGGCCTTTGCTTTGCTGATCACGACTAGAAGATTGCGGCCATATTTCCAGGGACATCAAATAATAGTGCGGACTAATCAACCTATACGGCAGGTGTTACACAAGCCGGACCTTACAGGACGAATGACTAACTGGGCAATTGAGCTCAGTGAGTATGACATAATATATGAAAGTCGAAAGGCCATCAAGTCACAAGCTCTGGCCGACTTCATAATAGAGCTAACACCGGTGAACCCGGAACATAGCGAATCTGGGAATGCATGGAAGGTCTACGTAGATGGATCCTCCAACGATAAAGGAAGTGGAGCTGAAATCATATTCGAAAGCCCAGAAGGAGTGACAATAGAACACTCCTTGAATTTGGAATTCCCAACTTCGAACAATCAAGCAAAGTATGAAGCTTTGATAGCCGGATTAATGCAGGCTAAGGAACACGAAGCTAAGAAGGTAAAAATTTTCAGTGACTCACAATTGGTAACTTCACAGATAGAAGGAAAGTATCAGGCCAAAGGCCTTCTCCTGATGAAATATCTGAGCAAGGTTCAGGAGATGATGGCCGATTTCGATGAAGTGCAAGTTATTCATATTCCTCGAGGGGGAAATTGCCGAGTTGATATCTTATCTAAATTGGAAAGTACCAAAAATTCAGGTAACCACAGAATCGTGGTACAACAAAGTATAACTATGTCGAGTTGCGTGATGATCATCACCTCGGCAAACAACTAGAGGCGACCCATAGTGGCATACCTTGAGAAAGAAATATTGCCAGAGGATCGACTGGAATCCAGGAAGCTGGTCCGAGATACAACACAATACACAATTGTGAATGATCAGCTGTTTAGAAAGGGGTTGCATGTCCCCATGCTGAAATGCTTGAACTCGGAAGAAGCAGAATATGTTCTGGCCGAGATACATGAACGAATAAATGGACATCACATGGGAGGCAAAACTTTGGCTAGAAAGGCCCTCCGAGCTGGTTATTATTGGCCAACTATGGAGGCAGACTCAAAAGAACATGTCAAGAGATGTGACAGTTTCCAGAAACATGCCAAACTAATTCTTTCATCACCTGAAGAACTGAAATATATATCGACTCCATGGCCCTTTTTCAAATGGGGAATGGATTTTTTGGGACCCTTCAAAGCTGCTGAAGGACAATTAAAGTAGTTGATTGTAGCTATGGATTACTTCACAAAATGGATAGAAGCAGAACCAATCACCACAATCACCTCGGCTAGAGTACAAAGATTCTTTGAACGGAACATTGTCTCAAGATTTGGAATACCATCTGAGTTGGTAACTGATAATGGAACACAATTCGTAGATAAAAGGTTCCAACAACTGATGAAAGACTTACAAGTCAAACATCACTTTGCATCTGTGGAGCATCCACAGTCAAATGGGCAAGCTGAAGCAGCAAACAAAGTAATTGTGGACGGTCTTAAAAAGCGGATGTTTGACGCTGAAGAAAGCTGGGTTCAGTAGCTATACTTTGTCCTTTGGGGATACAGAACGAGTACCCAAACTGCAACATGGGAGACCCCTTTTAGGCTGACATATGGTTGCGAAGCCATATCCCGGTGAAAATCGGAGAACCCTCTTGGAGGAGACTGAATATTGCCAAACAAGGCGAACAACAAAACAGTAAACTGTTAACTGTTAAATTAGATCTTGTTGACGAAGCCAGAGTTACAGCTCACTGCCGGGATATGATGGCCAAACATCATATTGCAACCAAATATAATAAAAAAATGAGACCAATAATCTTTGAGAAAAATGACTTGGTACTCAGGAGGACAGACATTGGCAATAAAAACGCCAGGGATGGAAAGCTAGCTGCAAACTGGGAAGGCCCATACCGAGTTAAAGAGAAGCTCAGAAAAGGAGCTTATGTCCTAGAGACAATAGAAGGCAAAGGAATCAAGAGAACCTGAAATGCGGATAAGCTGAGAATATATTATAGCTAAATCCGGGATCCGCCTTCTGAATTTTGCAATTTTGCAATATATTATAGCTAAAGCCGAATATGCCGGCAAATTCATGTAGCTAACAATTTGATATCAATAAATGAGAAATTTTTCTGTTTTAAGATTTATCCTTGTCTATTTTTTATGCATCGATACAAAATTCGAGGTGCAAACGCAATTTGTCATGGTGACTCTGATCAAGTCGAAATGCCACCCATTTTGGTCTAGGCACCAAGGGGAACATATGACAGTATTGTTTTTACCTTAGATAAAATTGAATTATAAAATTCAAGTAAAAACAAACGGTTAAGTCAGTAAAGACAAGAACCATTGTTAATGCAGACTTAACAAAACGATTAAGTCAAATCAAACATGCGTCATGGAAAATGACAGAAACGGAATCCGTATAATGCTTTGACCTCGGCCAGGTCAAGAATATAAAACTCGTAAAATGCACGGGTTTAGTAAATTTATCTGAGTTGAAAAAATCACCAATCAATGTGGGGTAAAACTCGGATAAAGCTTAAACGCGTAACTCGGGAAAGCACGGGTTAAAAAGGTAAAATCAACCCAAGTTGCAACTCAGCCAGGAGGGGGCAACTCGGACAAGATTTGAAATACGCGAAAATTACCTAAGTTATAAACTTAGATAGTAAAGGTAGAAGCCCATTTGTCAAAAAAGGCAAAGACGAGCTAAACTTTTACGAAAATTGATTGAAGGTTCGAGAGAACATGCCCGATTAAAAAATCAAAATACTTAGATAAATGCATCTATGGTAAATTCGGGAAGTAAGAAATGCAAGATGTCAAATCATAAAGGGAAATATGAGATAGGCTCAAATAGCAAATTAGAAACCGGAGTAAAACCGGCAATATTCAAAATTGTTAAAAAGGGGCCCAAAGACCCCAACCAAAAATCACAAGATGAAATCGACATCCCGGCCCTTCATGTGGCAGGAGTAGCAGGTTGAGTGCTAACTTCTTCACCTCCCTCAACCATGGTTTCCTCCCCGCCTTGTGTCCGAGTAACAGAGTCACAAGGTAGAGATTCCGGGAGGGACCAACAATGAAGCCCTTGCTTACATACGCCTTGGGATGTATCCCGGTTGTATTAATTGGCAATTCTGGGTTGACAACCTTCAGCTGACTAAGACAATTGTTGAAAGAGCCTATTACTGATTTCTCGAGTTCAACTCGGTAGTTTTGGGCGGTAGATTTAGCTTCCTTCAACTCCGCTTCAACTCTTTCATACATAATCTTGAAATCGGTCAGCGACTTGTGATTGAAGGCATGTAAGGATTGAAGTTCATTATGCTCTCTTTGAAGGTTGTGAAATTCTCTTTAGTCTTCGCTAACGCCAGAACTGTTGGTCCTTTCCCTCTTTCACCTGGGACAAGTCAGCAATGGCCTTGGCTTTTTCACCCTGACATGCATTCAGTTCATTAAAGGTGCGAAGATAATCATTCTTTAAAGATAAGAGCGGCCTAACAATGATGGACATTTTCATACAACCCACCTCCATATCCTCCAATTCCCTTACTTGTGTTGAGGTGAAAGGAGAAGAGTTAAAGAAAATCTCAGGGGGACAAACGGCATCCCGAAGAACACAAGTTATTCTGGACTTCCATAATGCATGCTTGGAAATCTCGGAGGATGGTGGAGGCATAGCAGACTTCGACCCGCCCTGGGAAGAAATAGGGGCACGCTTATCAGGATTCCCTTTGGACTTATCACCACGGATTTCTTTGTTCTTCTCGGCAGTAAGGGCAGCAGACTTTGTAGATTTTTCTTCGGGGGCTTTCCTTTTCTTGCTCGTCGAATCAATAAATGTCCCCTTGGCACCCCGGTTTAAAACCAACAGCCAGCTGGGTTGATCATCCTTTTGACCTTACTGCCCGTCTTGCTGTGAGTTTGCCATATCAGGAACTACAAAACAAAGTGGCAATCAGAGTCATAAAATGCAATACACAAGAATTATAAATGTAGAAATAAACATACTTAATTCTGTATCGAGCTCTTCTTGAGACTTATAAATGAGAGATGCAACACTGGCATGTTTGTATGACTACAGATATTTACCAATGGCAATTGCACTATTGATGTCAGCAGGGTTCAACTCTGACTCGTTGAAGCAGTAGCTTGAGAGAGGAAATTGGAAATGATCAGATGACCAACACAAGGGAAACTTTCCCTCCACGTCCTCGGTACCACGGTTATGGAGAAACCATACCTCTTTACCAGATGTGCATAAACTTTAAAGAACTTGTCTTTAAAATTTTTAAAAGACTCAGTATAAACTCAAAAAAGTCTATGACCCGGAATACCCCAGATGGTAACCCAACCCTTTCTTTCCGGCGGTTCACGACCAGTTCGACAAGCGACAACTTGAAAAAAATAAAAAAAAAGATGCAAGTGGAAGGATGAAGAGCAAGGTATGCACAAAAACACTCAAATGCCTTAACAAAACCCCAGCCATTGGGGTGAAGTTGGGTGGGTGATATACGAAGATGATTAAGAATATCAATTTGGAACTCGGTCAAAGGAAACCGAATCCCAAGTTGAGTCACGACATCACGGTAAAAGAAAAAGAAACAAGGGTTCTCTTCTGCTCCCCCAGAGCAAACCGACTCATCTTCTCATGGAGGGGCTATATCGTAATTATCTAGCTGCCCAACGAGAAGACCAGCCACATCATCAGAACTCATTTTGGAAACAGTGTTTAAAACCTCGTAAGTAACCCAGGGAAACTGGGACACTAAAGAGGTGGGGGGCGTGGGGGATATGATTCAGAGGAACTCGACTCTTCTACTACCTCTGGAGAAGGAGATGCCATAAAACCTAAAACAAAGAAAAGAACTCGATCAGAAGAAAAGAATGGGCATACCTGGATCAAAAATACTATCAGACGAGTCACTAGAAGAAGACGAAGTCGGCAAGTCGGAGATCATAATGGGATCACTTGCTGCACCAGATGCGGAAGTAGATTCCAGTATATCTCCATGTAGGCAACTAGCCAAGGTAGACTCGACCAAAGAGTCGCGTCCTTGCTCGACAAGCTTAGAACTCAAGTAGACACAAGAGTACCAAGGGACACTCCTTAGGACAGGGGAAGAACGACGAAAATTCCGGATGGTGGAAATGGAACGTGGAGGCATATTAAGCTGGCTAGAGGGCTCAATCCCGGGTTGGGGAAATGGGTGCAAAGCACGTCTGTTTGAGGTAAGACGACCCCTAACCCGATTGGACGAACCTCTACCACGGTTGTGCCCTAACTCCCTATTGGACATCCCGGACCTTCTTCAAGATCTACCACCACGGCAACCGCGAAGCATGGCTTCCCGTTCCTCTTCTTCGATCCTTGGAATCCCCCAAAGCCAGAAGCGGGCACCAGGAGGAATCTTTCTAAAAAGTAAGAATCCTCTTCTTTCTCCCCTTTACAACACAAAGCTGAAGAATGAGGGTTTTCCCCCCTCATTTGGTTAAAAAACTAAACGACACTTAGATTTGAAATAACAATGAAGGATGACAAAAGCAAGGGGGCGAACACCAAAATACCAGAAGAGAAGCAATACGCAACCCCCTGAAAGTACAGAGTGTGGGTGTAATGGAAAAACAAAAATCAACGGAATGGCATGCAACGGGCAAAGAATTCAAAAATGAAAAAGCATGCCAAAGGAAAATTGATCAAATGCAGGCATCTCAAAACAGAAACAACAAAAGCAAAGGATGAATGAAATACCTGTAAATAAAAAGATGAAAGAGATGAACTAGCAAGGAAGTGGAGAATTGCGTTTGAGACACTGACACTCTAAGAAACGCAGTTTCAGCACAATGCTCAGAAGGAAAACAAAAGCATGTAATACGAGACAGAGGCTTATATAGGCATGACAAGTGACCATTGGGGTTGCGAATGGCAAAGTTCAGGGCTACTAAGGTCTTTGCACTTGAAAATAATAACTGCAACAATCATGGGAGGTAACCGCAATCATCATGGGCGGTAACCACAGCACGCAGAAATGCAAGGGTCAAGGTCATTAGTGCCATTTCACTTCAAAAAGCAATGATTAGACAACTAAAACGATGCTGCAATAAATGCGCACGAAATGCGAAAATGGCATAGAATGGCTGCGGCACGCTAAGGCATGCAGCTGTAGCACGTGGCAGAACGAAATGAGTACCACTCATAAACCAACAGATAAGACAGGGTACATACATATGAAACTATCAACCGGGTTAAACGCCTGATGCTTGGGGCCAACTCGCCAGTTGGAGAACAACTACTCAAGCATATCCTTTACCCGGTTGCTATGTAAACTATCTTGTCGGGTTCATGCAAAACCCGTCGTCCAAGTAAACAAAAGAAAAAATTAATACTCCAGTTAAGGTATGATGCTTGAGGGCAACCCGTCAGTTGGATCCCAACAACTTAAGTACATCCCTAACTCGACGTAGGAGTATAGAAAGGGTTGATTATCAACCTGCCCATATAAGGGATGAGGAAAAATTGAGCTCGAGATAAACCACAAACTCGGAATAAGTATAAGGGCTGACGTGTAAGGGGAAACTCGTCAGTTGGACCCCAACTGCTCAAGCCCACCCTTAATCCAGAAAAAAGGGATACGAGTAATATCTCACCGGGTTGATGCTCAGCCCGTCTACATAAGGGGCAAGACACACTCCAAAAGGAAGAAACTCCAGAATATGAGGAGCATGCAAAAAGTTTGAAAGTTTGCAAAAACGCAAACACACTCAGCCTAACAAAAAACCTGAAGAGACGCACAAATAAATTCACCTCGGCAACCCGGATACCCAGGTAGCCTGGCTGAGGGGCAACTGTTATGGACTCATATAAGGGACCCATTAAGTGATAGGCCCAACAAGGGGCAATCCAAGATCTGAATCAGTAATAATCATGGATAGATATCCGTCAAGGATACTAATCCTAATATGATAGCATAACAAGCAGGCCTGAGCCCTTATCAGAGGCACCGAAGGCCCATCCACGCTACCCACAGGTAACCTATATAAATACAAGGTAAACCCTAAAAGTATGTTACGCTATCTCTTACTGTTATGCTGTCACTGTGCGCGCACACACTCCCCATTGGCTAACACAGTTATAGTATTCTGTGCACAGTGATCTGCTTGACTCAAGGTATCTCCTTCATAGATACCTTGGAGAGGGCACTAGATCCAATAGAAACATACCAGCCTATTGAGCTGGACATCTCTGTTCCAAGGACAGAACAAATTCGTTTACAATTTTTTTTTATAAATTTTTTTAAATTACATTATATACTTCGAAAAATACATAATATAATTTAATTATTTTCGATACTACATAATATAATTTGTAAATAAAAAATTTATAAATATAATTATCTATACAATCTTGTCATGTGCTGAAACAGTGAGATTGTCGCCTTCATGATTGCACATCATTCTGACAGATGAAATTCCTGTATTGTCTTGTAATGGCATAATTCGTTTCCTTTAACTTTTCTTTCCTTGTCTTTACTATATGTCTCGAGTGTATCGTTAGGAAGACCGGAAGAACTCCAAACAGGTTGCCGTAACAGTGAAGATGTGTGATTATTAAACATTAAACATATTATAAAAGGACAAGTTATATATGTTTGTAGGGATTCATATTTTTGATCACATAGAAGATGATTTTATTATATATATATGAAAATATATGGAGATTATGTTGTTTTTTTTCTTTTGTCTTAACATAATCTCATATGAGTCTATATACTTTTAAGTATGTGTAGGAGATAAAATTATTTCCTAAAGAGTAATCTCATGTTTTTATATAAACTTTAAATTTCAATTTGAATTATATAGTTTCGACTTTTGACCAAATTGAAAAGATTAATTGATTTAAAAGTGTATACAAACTAATATGAAACACCACTTCACCCACATAAAGAAAACACTTAACAGTTAGGATGAGTATGACAACGTTTCATAATTTTTTTATTTTTAAATAGATAATAGAAAGGTTAAGAAATAATGTTCGCTGAAATCAATTTATTTTTTTATTCCAGAAAATAAATCGATTATTTGGGAATACGAATTGGGACAAATAAAAAATAATATTTCTTCTCCTCACACAATATTTATTAAATACAGATATGTAGAATGTTTATCAGTTATTTATTAAATATAATATCTCTCTATTTGGATATAAAAATAAATTTAGTTAATAAAACGAAGGCCGAAGGATTCCATTTGGGCCGTGACTCAATTAAAGCCCGAAATAACGATTGATTTGACAAACATCAGAGAATGAGCTCTATTAACATAATTTCAACCTATAAAATAAGAAAAAAATATTTATTTTTTTAAATGACACAACTTATATCATTTCACTCTTACAAATAAGTGAGATCCACACCTTTATTTTTTGTCAACTCTCTTCTCCTTTATCTATCTCTTTCTCTCTCTTAAAATGACACAATTTTACATCCTTTAAAATGACACACACTTTACCCATAAAATAATGAAAAATGTTATAGAGCAGATTTATATTTATAAATTATATTATGTATTACAGATAGTATATATCATTTAAACATGTACTACCGGTAGTACATAGTATAGTTTATAAATAAAAAATTTGTAAATATTATCTATCACAATGTTATATTTACAAATTCAATTATGTATTCTGAAAAATACAAACACCTAAATATGTATTTTTTGGAATATATAGTTAAGTTTATAAACAAACAAACAAACAAATAGTATTTCAAAAAAAAAAAAAAAGTTTATAAACAAATTTTTTTATAAATATAACCGTCCTGTAAAAAACTCTTAAATATTCTGCATTTTAATTTGGGCCTGGACTTGGCAATATTATATGGGCCTATGTTCGTGTTCAGGATCGGGTTAACCCATTTTAGCTTCCTATTTCTTCAATTCATTTTGTTAATAGAGAGGGAAGAAAGGGTGAGAGAGAAGATCGAAAACCGGGTTCAACATGAGTCGAGGAAGCGGTGGGGGATATGATCGTCACATAACAATATTCTCGCCGGAAGGGAGGTTGTTTCAGGTGGAGTACGCTTTCAAGGCCGTTAAGTCCGCCGGAATAACCTCCATCGGTGTCCGAGGAAGCGATTCAGTTTGTGTCGTTACTCAGAAAAAGGTTCCGGTGAGTCACAACTAACTGCAACTCGGATAAGGATCGTTATGCTCGTTTTTTTTTTTTTTTTGCTGCTTCAATTTGAATTGACCTAAGGTTTGGTGTGTGTGCAGGACAAACTATTGGACCAGACAAGTGTCACACATCTCTTTCCCATCACAAACTACCTTGGTTTGTTGGCAACTGGCATCACAGGTTAATGTTGATTCGTGTAGTGCATTGGTTAATTGGTGATTAGCTGGATGATTAGTTGCTTCTCTGCTAGTGTATATAAGTTACTGTTATAATCGCTTTTGATTAATTCAATACCAACCAAATAAACTTGTTTGCGTGTAATAGAAAGCAAAAGAAAGAGAAGGAAAGTGAGGGAAAGAGATGAGAGAAAATTGAAGAGAGCTTGTCTCTCTGTAAATCTGTGTATTAATGAATCTGTCTTCGCTGTGTATCTGTGAAGATATTTATAGGCTACAGAACATAGTGGTATGTATAACACTCAACTGAATATTGAATAACAAACTAACAAACTCTCAAACACAACTCTAACTAACTGAACTAACTGTACAGTAGTGTACTGTAATTACTAACAGTAGTATACACTGCTGCATCTACTCTAATAGCACGAGAGGGAAACAAAGAAGAAGGAGATAATGATGGGTTAGACGAGAAAGCTTATTGTTATTCTTGTTTGTTGTTGATGACTATGGATTTTTTTTAAATAGCCAAACCTCTTATGTCTGTGGATAGGATACGAAGACAATGTGCCCTTTTATTTTTTGGTTGGGAGATTGGCAATTAAATCTATGCAAAGTGACGTAAAATAAGGGTCCTCGTCATGATCTTTAATGAGAAAACAGGGTTCAGTTAGACCTGGATGTTACTGACAAAAGTCGCACCAGGGTCTAAACTTGACCTGTGGCCACAGTAGGTACAGTCATAATTGTTGTTTTGCCCAACTTGGGTACATGATACCTTATTTCCGTCACAGAAAATACATGTTTTATTGAAAGATATATTTTTAAGGAAAACAAGTTTTTCACATCCAAAAGCTAGCTTCTGCTTCATCCCGTTTGATATGTGTTTCCAGCTGATGCTAGGACGTTGGTTCAACAAGCAAGGAATGAAGCGGCTGAGTTTCGCTTTAGATATGGATATGAGATGCCAGTGGATGTATTGGCTAAGTGGTAAGTTGTGCATTTTCCTAAACAAGATATTCCGACACTATAATTATCATTAGTTGCTCGTTACTCTGTTTCATGTCTGCAATTCAAACTGCCATTATTTTGCACTGAAAATGTTATCTGCACCCCGTTTATTTTATGTACTGGAACTGGAACAGTGCATTGACATTGTTTTCTTCCCTTTGAGTTATAGTTGTCTGAAATGTTGTAGCATGCGCTTATGAAATTGAGGGACAACTTTCTTTATTGCATCCACCATATTCAAAATGTTCTTATTATCCAGTAATTGGAAATTCGGCATCATTTGCACCAAAATAATGCTGAAACTTTTGTTAATTCCTCCTTTAAATAGGCGCTGTTAACAAACTCTTAATTAGTACTGACCAAGTGACCATTATGCCAGTGAATGAATATTGACAATTTCCTGAAGCCCCCAACTACTTCTTACTCATATGATGTGGTTTGTCAAGTTCCAATATATTGGCAATGTTGGTTGTAGTGTCAGTTCTTTGTAAGCTTGTTACCTATGCACTTTTGACACTTGATGTAAATCCTTCATGTTACTACTATCTCTGAACTGAGTATCAAACAGGTCTGTTTAATCTAATATGCTTGCTAGTTCAAACAAACTTAATTTTGTCAATGCTTTTTTTTTAACATGCATACATTTCTGATTAGGATTTAGTAAGGTTAGTAACTTAAGATAGATTCTGGCTTGTTTTGTTTGATCCACGACAGAACGTAGTTAATTTCAATAGTAGTTTTGTCAATGCTTGTGATATTTGTATTTTGCTTAAGATTTTAAGGACAAAAAAAAATTCTACCTGGCATGAAGTTAAAACATATTGTCTACAACTAAGCACAAACCATGTAGTCATTGATCTCTGCTACTGTATAAACTTTTTCATGTGACATATGCTCTTAGGTCACAAGAAAGTGAAGAAACCAATAATTCATCTGCTGAGTCTGACTGTACTTTCAAGTTTTAACTTTTGCCAAAGGCTACATCATATTAATGTAATGTTTTTACAGTTTCTCAGAACCATCTTTCTTATCTGATTTTTTCAATCTTTTGCTTGGACAGGGTCGCAGACAAATCACAAGTCTATACTCAACATGCTTACATGAGACCACTTGGAGTAGGTATATTTTTCTGGGCCTTTTCATTTCTTCACAATTTCACTCTGGTATAAAAGATCACATAATCAGTTATGTATGGTCACAATTTTTTAATAATTCAATTTCTCATTATTATGTTATTTCCTCTTTCTGTGATTTTGAATCTTTTACTCCTGGAAGTGGCAATGATTTTGGGTATTGATGATGAATATGGACCTCAACTTTATAAATGTGACCCGGCTGGTCATTACTTTGGCCACAAGGTACATACATGATCATCTCCCACTTTATTTATGTTGGAATACTTCTTCTTTTTTTCCTTACTGTTATTTACTATAAGAAGTCAAGAAACTTGTTGCTGACCCCACGTCGGGGGACAAGGCTTCGTTGTGGCATTTACTATAGAGGAAGGGAAACATGCCAATAGTTCTGATTCTTAAATAATTGAATAGACATCTTATGCACAAAAAAGTTCAATAGAATATGAGATGACCAGGAGTAGGGATGGGGATCAGTACACTAACTTTGTCAGCTTATACTTTGTGAAAGTTGTTTATGTATTACTAAAGTTACCAAATCAAATATTATCATATGTGTATCTGTCATGAGCATATCAAGGTTAATTATTACCGAGTGACTAAGCAACTACATAAATGCATCATTATTCACCTATAAATTGTGCAAAAACAAAGTTCTTGCTTTGAGTTTGCTTGACCCGATGGTGGGTTTTTTTTTTTTTTTTTTTTGGGGGGGGGGGGGGGGGGACTGGGGAAAATGAAGGGGGTGGGTGGTGGTGCAGTGGTTATTACTTATTAGGTAATACTATGAAAAGGAAGTAGATAAATGAAGAGGCAAAACAATTTCTATCTTGCTTTACAACAACAACCAAGCCTTTTTCCCAAGAAATGGGGTAAGCTACATGGATCAAACAATGCCGTTGTGTTCTATCATCAGTCACTAAGATGATATATATATGAGAGAGAGAGAGAGAGAGAGAGAGAGCATGTAAGCATCAGCTAAGGCATATGAGCCTTACTGTGTTCTTCCCCTTTTTGTTTCAATTTATCCATCTTCAGCATCTAGAAGCACCAAGTAGTCTGTTGATTACTTCTCTCTTCACTCGGTGACTTTTTTAACCTTTTAAATACTTTAGGAATTAAATTTTCACTGTTTACTTGTAGCTTTATGTATTCAATGATGGATTAGATTGGATTTTTTTATTTTTTTCATTGTGTTATTTGTCTCAGAACCTATTTGATGTAGTCAGGCCACAAGTGCTGGATTAAAAGAGCAAGAGGCAATTAATTTCTTGGAAAAGAAGATGAAGAATAATCCTTCATTTACCTATGAGGAGACTGTGCAGGTAGCATTATTGCTTTCTTTTTTTTTCCCTCATGCCTGTTTTGCAAGCCAAAATCTGCTTAGCAATTCTTGCTCTGTACAAGTATAGTTTTGAAGTTCCATTTGCGTTTGGGAAATGACCAATCTATTAGCTGGATTTTGTTAGTGTAAAAATTACTGTGTATAACTGAGAGCTTATGTGTCCCTTCAAGGAAGATATGTCAGTATAGCTGCATTTTCTCCCACCTTTTTTAGGGTAAACAATGGGTTTGTTTAATTTTCTTTTGTTGGCAATGGCTACTCAAATTTTTATACTCGATAATATTTGCTTCCCTGTAATAATGTTAATCTTTCTTAGTTATGGAAGTCATTGGTTATTGGTAGTTGTTATGTCAAGTTTTTGAATTTTTACTAGAATATTTGTGTCGTATAATTAGTAGTCTGCAGAGATGTTATTGGTCAAGATATTGAATGTTCTTGAATGCCAAAGATTGACTCTGTTTTACAGAGAGGGGAAATGTCTGAAAATATGCTAGAGGAATTTGATGTGAATGATGTCAGTTTTGTGTCCTTTGCTCATTGGAGGAATAAACGTTTGATATTTTTTGTATTTCTGAGTGCTAACTGCTAATGGTGGAGGCAATGAAAGTTCTCTTGTATCTGTTGTTCAGATAATTGAAAAACAACTTTTGGATTCTCATCATAAATATAAGCCTGTTACTATTAAAATTTAGGCATGTCATTAACACATATTATTGGGTTTCATGGACATTACATATGACCCTTAGCTTCAATAATGTTTGGGAGTTTTTACTCTTCACCTTTTATTCTGATAGGTGACAATTTCTTAACCGTGTTATCTATAAAATTCAACCAGTTTTTATTCACTAGATTTGAAAGATTATATTGTATTTTAAGATGCTAGAAATTTATTATTGGAAAAAAAATTAAGTTGTAATCTGATCATGTTTTATCTTTTATGATTTGAATTCTAAGATCACAATGTTCTTTTTTTGCAGACTGCCATTTCCGCCTTGCAATCAGTTCTTCAGGAGGATTTTAAGCCCACTGAGATTGAGGTAGAAAGTGTGTCTGAGTGTTGTTAAAACTCAAATACCTCTATATGACAACATGTTTTTTTTTTGGTATTGATGACACCATGTTTTTTAACCCCTGTTAAAAGAACCTTTTTTTTTTTCTCTTGGAGGATCTCACTTAGTCACTCTTGTTGAATTAGTCCCTGGAGAGCCAATTCATTTGTTTCATCTTTAATTGGGGAGAAAGTTCCTTATGCTTATGAAATGGCAGGCATGAATTTGTGCAGGGACGGGTCTAGGAATGAACTATTGAGGGGGCCAAAATATATAAGTCAAGATATTTAAATGAAAAATTCTTAGTTTTAAATTTTTAAATGTATCATTCATTTATCGAAGTGAGTCCAATGTTTTTTCATATCATAAATTTTATCTATGCTTGAATTGTTCCAGCAGTAGATTATTTATTGATTTTGAGATATGGATCTTTGCATGCGACATAATTGACATTATGGAGCTCTCTTGATGCACGTAATCTTTCATTCTAGAGATGATTATGGTTATCCAACGAATACTTTTTCTCACTGATGTGATGTGAAGTGAATAATTATATTTTGTTTTTTCTAGGTCGGAGTGGTGCAGAAGGAAAAACCAGAATTTAGAGTTTTATCCACCGAGGAGATTGATGAGCACTTGACTGCCATAAGTGAGCGTGACTGAGTTCAAAGCTATGGTGAAATTTGTTAAGCTTCTCGGATTAGATAAAAACAAGGATGATTGTTGATGTTTTTATGTTAAATTAAATCACAATGTGCCTATAGCAAATTTCCCGAGGTTATTGGTTTGATTTTCTTTATGATATTTGTGAGTAATGTTAGTATTATACAAGTCTGATGCAACTACATACTAAAATGACTGGGCACTAATTGAAACTTCCATGGTCATTAAAAGCATGCCAGATTATTAAAAATCAGCCAGGTAATGAAGTCGTGCTCAAACTAGCTGGGTTGAACCAACTTTTACCTGTTCAATTACATGCTTCCAACAAGATACCCAGATCAATCAAGTGATCAGTTCATCAATTTACTGATCAAACCAGTAGGTGCAAGACAATTACAATAATTATGTGCTAACCACTTCATCCACCTTGATTATCTAGCTTAATCCATGGTCCCAGAAAAATTGAGTACATAATTATTTATGTGAAAGGTTATATTTACTATCATTTAAGTTTATCACCTTTACTGCCAACATAATCACTGATAATTCAATTTGAGAACAAATGCTGAGAATTAATTTTAAGTTCTCTCTCTCTTCATTCTCTTCCTTCATTTTTGCGGATTCGTAGCCGGTCATAAGCCGGATCTTAACACACGGTTGCTCACTATCCCAAACTACATGGTCACCCCAATGGCCAAGAACCACTTGGTGGCACCGCAATGTACATGTACAAATTGTGCCGTCATGAATAAGGTGGATGTGAACACATCATGAGAATTTCAGATTGGTTCACTTTCAAAGGTGGATGCGAACACATCATGAGAATTTCAGATTGGTTCACTTTCAAATTCCTATTATGACCGTGTTAGTAAAAATTAACACAAATTTTATACTGTGTTGCGTGTCAACCCACAAACACGATATTGATTTGCATTAATCTTCCGGATTATGTGTCATATCGGGACAACACGATATTTATGAAATTAATATTCGGTGGACAAGTTATATGTGTCGATTTGTCTAAACTGGCATAATAAGGAGGATATTTCGAAATTGAAGGGTTATTTATGTCATGTCGATCCATAAAATAAACAGGTCATGTTAGTGTCGAAGGTTTTAACACGAAACTTTATTTGTATCGAGTGTGTTCATGTTCAGGACTCGGTGACACGAATTGCCACCCATAATATTGGTTTTAGAGATAACTTCTTTCTTATATTACATGATTACCAAGCTCTGCACAATAAATCTCCAATTGCATCACAATTGATCAATGTTTCTCTTAAGTATAATAGGAAGTCCAACTTTTAATCTTAGCGAGTTAGAAGGCCATTATCTTCATACAAATAAAGATTGTCAGATCACATAATTAGAAGATAGTGTCGGAAAATCAACCAAACCCGAAGCATAATACCTCACTACCAGTATCATAGAATGATTCAGTGATAATATTAGGAACAACTAGTATCCCATAATACCTCCCAATGATTAGTTGATACTAATTGGCACTACCAGTAATCCCCACAGGAGCAAAAGCCATCGCGAAAGTGATGGAACCGATTGGTGTCCCTCACTATGATTTCCCTCTTCACCAACAATGAGACATATTTTATAGCTGAGTGGCAATCACCACAAACCCTAATATTCTTCATAATGCGTATAGTGGATCCAGGAGAAGTATTCATAAGGGCAAATGCAAGAGCCAGCTTCTCACTATGATACTGTAAATTCACTTCCTTCTCTTGTTGGTCTACAAACAGAAGCACATGACTAGTGTCAGGAACATAGCCAATCTCCTTAATTTTCTGATTTAGCTTCTCCCACATTTTGTGGACCTTATCTTTCTGTGGATGAGCAATGTCGTTTGCCACAAACACATGGACATAATTCTCAATCTCAACCCAACTACAAGCTGGTTCCTTCTTCAACCCATTATCTTTCATTATCTTTCTGACTTTTGCAGCATCCCTCCACCTACCAGCAGAGGCATAAATATTGGCAAGCAGTATATGTGTCCCTGAATAAAAAGGGTCAAGCTCAAAAACCCGTTGAGCAGCGTAAGCACCCATTTTCATATTTTTATGCATCCTAGAAGCACCAAGCAAAGCTCCCCAGATAGCTACAGTGGGTTCAACTGGCATTTCTTCTATGAACCTCTTAGCTTGATCAAGAAGACCAGCTCGACCAAGAAGATCAACCATTGTCGCATAATGTGAGACTTTTGGTTCAATGTTGTACTTTCTCATCAATCCAAAATAGTGTTTACCCTCTTCCAAAAGTCCAGCATGGCTACAAGCAGTAAGAACATTAATGAATGTTATATCATTGGGTTCAATCCCAACCCTTAGCATTTCTTCAAACTGTTGCACAGCTTTTTTTCCAAGCCCATGTTGGGCATACCCTATCAGCATTGAATTGCAAGAAACTACATCAAGCTTCACCAATCGATCGAAAACCTTTTCTGCATCATGAATGCTGCCTGACTTTGCATACATGTGAAGAAGAGTGTTGCCCACATAACCAACCAACTTCCTCCCTGATTTTATCATATGAGCATGAAGCCATTTACCTTGCTCCAAAGATCCCATGCAGGAAGAAGAACATAAAAGAGCTGAATAAGTAAAGTCTGTTGGTCTATAATCTTCCCTTTGCATATTCACAAACAAAGCCAAAGCTTCCTCTCCTTCACCCTTTCTAGCATAACCAGTTATCAAAGCATTCCAAGAAACCTCATTCTTACTCACCAATTCATCAAAAACCAATCGCGCTTCACCCAAGTAGCCACACCTAGCATACATATCCACAAGCGAACTTCCAACAAAAACATTGGAGTTACATCCATACTTCCAAGAACACGCATGAATTTGCTTCCCATCATTATAGCTTGGTATAAACCCACAAGACTTTACCAAGCTTGATAAAGTGAACTCATTTGGTTTGGACCCATCACGTAGCATCTGAGGGAATAAAACAAGTGCATCCTTGGCACGTTCATTCTGAGCATAACCAGTAATCAATGAAGTCCACGTAACCATGTCTTTAATTGGCATTTCATCGAACACCATGCGTGCATCTTCCAAACTGCCACACTTTGCATACATGAAAAGAACGGAATTTTGAATAACGAGGTCATCAGTGAGCTTGGAATTAAGGATGTGGGAATGCACTAATCTTCCTTCTTTAAGCTTACCCAACTGGGTGCATCTCTTTAGCAACGTATTGTACAGGGTTCGGTCCGGTTCGAGCGAACCGTTGTCGATAAGATCGAGAACATGAAGGCTATTCTGGGACTTGAGACTAGGACTAAGAATGTTCCTGTCTTCTATAATACATGAGTTGTCCAATTTGGCATCCTCGGAAACATCGAAAGTTGATTGAGTTGCAGATTGCCAAAGTGTTCGACAGCAACCCCAATGTCGTTTCAATGCAGTTTTACATTGGATCATCACCTCAAATTGTTTGTTTTATTTAAGATTTACTCTCAAAGCTGAGAATAATCTTTCAGTTTCAGTGCACGTTGCTGGCTATGGCTGCTTTAAATTTTTTGGCAAAATGGTCCTTTGCCATGGGTGCGTGTAATCATTGACGGGGTGGGGGACAGCGTCTCCGAAATATTATTTTTTTTTTTGTAAAGAAATTTTAAATTAACGCTTAAATCGCTCATAGTCTAGTTATTTTCATAACAAAGGATGAAGAAATTATGGGAATGAGTACGTGACACGGGTGGGAGAATAAGTTTTCTCTCTACTCGATTTGCCTTGGTACGTTGTTTTAATTATCTCTATGTAAGTTGCTACGTTCTAACTAATATAAGAATAAATATCTTTTTTGGTCCCTAACAAAAAAATTCGGTCTTCACTTTAGTCCATTATAAAAAATAGTCACTTGGTCCCTATGAAATTTAAAGTGGACTCATTTTAGTCTTTTTGAGGGACTAATGCAGGTCTTTTTTGAATTTGTGAAGGACAACGATTTTGAAAGCCCAACAGATCAAGGCCCATCAATTGTAACTAACTCCAACCAACTCTAGCTGTATAAACAAGACATAGTGCATAAATGTAAACAATACGATTCAGTTACTAATTACAATACAATGAGGTTTTATGTTCCTTCTGTTTTCTCTCTCTCTCTCTTTCTCTCTCATGTCTCTTGAATCTAACATGGTATCAAGAGCCTGATTTGATCCATGGAGACCTCAAATCCAACAATGGAAACCGCAGATTCAATGTTGAAAGCAACAGATCCGAAAGTACAAGGCTCGAATGTCACGGGAACGTCTACTTCGTTATGCTCAATTACAAGTTCAGTTCACACATTTTCCAGTCCAGTTTCGTTCAAGTTGAATGAAGATAATTTTCTGCCATGGAAGCAGCAAGCTCTGGCTACAATCAAAGGTTACAATCTTATGAAATTCATTACTCAAGATGCATCAACATTTCCAAAAACTGAAAGCTCCGATGCTGCGCTTTGGGAACAGCAAGATCAACTTCTCCTTTCATGGTTGCTTGGATCCATGTCAGAGGTAGTCTATATGAGAATGGTTGGATGTGAAAACTCCTATCAGGTTTAGCATAAACTTGATGAATTTTTCTCTTCTCAAACTAGAGCAAAAGTGAAACAATTGAAAATTCAATTGAGCAGTGCAAAGAAAGAAAGTAATGTCTCTAAATACCTGCTTCGAATAAAGAAGATAGTAGATTCACTGAGTGCAACAGGTTCTCCTGTTGGTGTAGAGCAACACATTGATGCAATATTGGATGGTCTTGGTGAGGAGTATGATCCGTTTGTTACATCTGTTATGTCTCGAACCGATCCTTATACGGTTGGTGAAATTGAAGCCTTACTCATGGCTCAAGAACAAAGGTTGGAGAAACACAAAAAAGCTGAAGTAGGAAATCTTGAGGCTAACATGACTCAACTTCACCTTGGCAGAGGAGGATACAACAATAGATCTGGCTACAGTCACAGAGGCAATTACAACAATCGAGGAGGATACAATAATTCATATAGAGGAGGATACAACAATTTTAATAGAGGAGGATACAACAATTTTAATAGAGGCAGAAACTTCAACAGAGGAGGAAGGTTCCAAAGTAGAGGAAACAGATTTCCTGACACTCGCCCTCAATGCCAGGTCTGTGGCAAGTATGGTCATATAGGCTGGGAATGTCATCATAGATTCAATCAAAATTTTCCCACTCCCTATAATCATGATAATGCTGTTGCAACACAAGCTCATGTTGCTGAAACCTCCTTCCCAAAGCAAGATGATACCAGTGAATTCTTTTCAGTGATGGATCACTCTTGGTATCCTGATTCTGGGGCCACCAATCACTTCACACCCGATGGAACCAAGCTTCTCAGCAAAACTCCATATCATGGTAAGGAATCTGTTCAAGTAGGTAATGGATCTAATTTGAAAATCAGAAATATTGGTCATACTGTTATACATTCACCATTCACACCCTTGTCCTTCACATTATCCAACCTTTTGCATGTACCTGGTATCTCTACGAATTTACTCAGTGTCTCTCAATTTGCCAAAGAACATGATGTTCTTTTTGAATTTCATGCTAATGATTGTTTTGTAAAATCTCAGGCTACCAAGGAGATTCTTCTCCAAGGGAGGCTTGAGAATGGACTCTATGTCTTTGAAGGTACACCTATGTGCCCACCATCAAGTTGCTCAGCCTTCACAGCTGGGATCACTTCGAATAATACATTCACAAATTCTGTTAGCTCCAAAGAAGTTACTATGAATACTTGTCATACTGTCTTAGATACTTGGCATGCTAGATTAGCCCATGCCTCTTTACCAATTGTAAAAACAGTACTCAAAGCTTGTCATATACCATTTACTAATAAAATGACTACTCAATTGTGTTGTGCTTGTTGTATGGCTAAGATGCATCAACTTCCCCTTCCCTTTTCTACTACTCTTTATAACTCTCCTCTTGAATTAGTTTTTACTGATGTGTGGGGCCCTGCACCTGTTGCTAGTACCACTGGTGCAAGATATTACATTCTTTTTGTTGATGCTTTTACCAACTACACATGGCTTTATCCTATGACCAACAAATCCTAAGTTTATACCATATTTACTACCTTCAAAACCATGGCTGAATTACAGCTCAACACCAAAATAAAAGCCCTCCAAACTGACAATGCCAAAGAGTATCTCAAACTCACCCCATTTCTTCAACAACATGGTATTCTCCATCGTCTCACCTGTCCATATACACATCAGCAGAATGGCAAGCCTGAATGCAAGCACAGGCACATTGTTGAAACTGGCCTAGCACTTCTAGCAGCTTCTCATCTTCCCACTAGATTCTGGGATCATGCCTTCCTCACAGCCACTTATGTCATTAATAGACTTCCTACTCCAACCTTACATAACAAGTCCCCACTTGAAATTCTTTTCAAACGGACTCCAGATTATCTCTTTCTCAAACCCTTTGGTTGTGCTTGCTATCCATATTTGCGTCCATACAACAAACACAAAATTGAGTTTCGATCTGATCAATGCACCTTTCTTGGTTACCACACTACTCATAAGGGCTACAAATGCCTTACCCCTTCTGGCCAAATTATAATTGCCAGGCATGTCCTCTTTGATGAACTGTTCTTTCCTTACAGCAAAATTACTTCCTTGTCCAATTCCTCATCCTCAACTACATCCCAACCTCTCACTTTCCCACCTGTCATTCCTGTTATTTCCTCAACCTCTACTCGGTGTGACACACATATCTCTGATTCTCTTATTAATCCTATTAACTCTACTTGTTCTGTTCCTTTTGCTCATAACTTTAATTGCAGGTCAGCTATTTCTCCAGATGCAGCAGAATCCTCTCTCGCATCTCCTCAATCTCCATCAACCAGTGGCATTTCTCCTTGTCAATCTACATCTTTACCATCGAACATCTCACCAGCTCCTCCAACCAACACTCACCCCATGCTCACACGTAGCAAAGCTGGTATATATAAGCCCAAAGCTTACATCACTGCTCTTGAGCCCAGTTCAGTTGCTCAAGCACTAACTCAATCCCATTGGTTGAAAGCTATGCAAGAAGAGTACAATGCACTGCAGAAAAATAACACATGGAAGTTAGTTCCCCTTCCTTCAGATTGAAAGCCCATTGGTTGTAAATGGGTTTTTCGCACAAAGTACAAACCAAATGGCTCCATCCTCAAGTATAAAGCACGATTAGTAGCAAAGGGTTTTCATCAGAAAGAGGGCTTCGATTATCAGGAGACATTCAGTCCTGTAATCAAACCAGTAACCATTCGTATAATCCTCACCATTGCCTTATCCAGAAATTGGCCAATTCATCAACTGGATGTCAATAACGCATTCCTTAATGGTGAGCTTCAAGAAGATGTATACATGCAACAACCTCCTGGGTTCTTGGCCTCTGATCCATCCCTGGTTTGCAAGCTTACCAAAGCTCTTTATGACCTCAAACAAGCTCCCCGTGCATGGTTTGACAAACTCAGCTCCACTCTTCATAATCTAGGCTTCATCAACACCAAATGTGACAGCTCTTTATTCATTTCTTTCACACCAGCTCATACAACTTTCATTCTTGTTTATGTTGATGATATTCTCATTACTGGATCCTCCTCCTCGGCCATCACCTCTCTGATTCACTCTCTGAACAAAGCCTTTATTCTTAAAGATCTTGGTTCACTCCACTATTTTCTGGGCATTGAGACTCTACCAACACTCACTGGTGGTCTACATCTTCATCAGTCAAAATATATCACTGATCTTCTCATTAAGACCAACATGCAGCATTGTAAACCGATGCCAACACCAATGCTCTCCAGTACAAAGCTCTCTTCTTCTGATGGTTCCCCATTTGCTGATCCTTCTCTATATAGATCCGTAGTTGGTGCCTTACAATATGCCACTATCACTCGTCCTAACATTGCATACTCAGTCAACAAGGCCTGCCAATACATGCAAACTCCCCTTGACACTCATTGGAAAGCAGTGAAACGTATCCTCCGTTATCTCAGTGGAACCATCAAGCATGGTCTCACCATCAATCCATCCTCTCACTTTCACATCTCTGCCTACTGTGATTCTGACTGGGGATCAGATTTAGATGATCGTCGCTCCACCAGTGGCTTCTGTATCTTTTTTGGTGCCAATCTTATCACTTGGTCCTCCAAGAAACAACATGTTGTGAGTCGCTCTAGCACGGAGGCAGAGTATCGTTGTCTTGCTGCTACAGTTGCAGAGCTCACATGGCTTCGTTCTTTACTATCTGAGCTTCATATCACGATTCCGCGGCCACCCACCCTTTACTGTGATAACTTGTCTGCTGTGTTACTCACAGCTAATCCCATTTTTCACTCCAGAACGAAGCACTTCGAACTGGATCTCCATTTTGTCAGAGAGAAGGTACTTACCAAACTCCTCACATTACATCATATTCCTGCTATTGACCAAATAGCTGATGGTCTCACCAAAGAGTTTCCCATGCTAAGTTTTTGGACTTCCAAACCAAGCTGCGTGTTCTGTCTTTACAGCCCACTACGCTTGAGGGGGGATGAAAGCCCAACAGATCAAGGCCCATCAATTGTAACTAACTCCAACCAACTCTAGCTGTATAAACAAGACATAATGCATAAATGTAAACGATACGATTCAGTTACTAATTACAATACAATGAGGTTTTATGTTCCTTCTGTTTTCTCTCTCTCTCTCTCTCTCTCATGTCTCTTGAATCTAACAGATTTTAACTAAATTGATTCACTTTGAATTTCTTAGGGACCTCTTCGAGACTAATTTTTGATAAAGAAATAAAGTGTGAACTATATTTTTTTTGTTAGGAACTTAAAATGATATTTACTCTTAATATAAATATTGAACCAAGAGATAAATAAAAATCTACATAGCTACAAAAAAAAAAAACCTAAAATCCAAAGTCTTATCCTAGGTCCGCTGGTGCGTGTAATCGGATGTGAGGTTGGGTTCGGTTAGGTGTGGGAAATTTGGAAATGAATATTCTCGTTTGAAAAAAAAATGATACGGTGATAATTATAATCATACAAATTAAATCACCAGTTATAATTTAATAATTATTTATTTTAATATTTTCTCTCTTTTTTATCACTAATCCATCTTTGTATAATTATGTTTGCCTACATAATCATATCATGTCTTTTTCAACAACATAAGAGGGTCCATTCCCCTTCAGTATCATGAGAGCATCAAACTTGATATTCCCTTTCACTAAAAAGATTTTTTTTAAATTTTATCCATATTTTTTGGTATAATTTTTTTAAAAGTCATGATTTTTTTTTTTTTTTAGTATGGATATACCCAGCCAGGGGTGTTCGTAATTTGGGTGGATTGATTTTGAAGGAAAAATTATTCGATCCAATTCTTCAGTTTGATCATTTAATCATCTATTTAGTTTGGATTTTTTAAAAAATCTGATCTAATCCAATTTAATTTTATTAGATTTGGATTAGATTGATTTTTATGTTTTTCAAAAAATCTAAAATTTCAACCCTATAAATCATTAGTTATATTAAAATAAAGCTATACAAAGTTGAAATTATTGTAAAATTCAAGTCTTCAAACTACGAAGAGTTAAAATAGATTAATAGATAATAAAATTAAAACAAAATAATTTGCTATCAATAACATCCAAGATACAAGTCTACAAAATAACAAGATTTCAAGCCACCATCTTTCAAAAATAATAAATATATAATATATTGGATTAGTTTAGATTTGATCAGTTTTCACCAATTAAACCGAAAACCAATCAATCCAATTAAAATATACAATTTTTTTTTGACTTTTTATTTTTTAATTTTCAATTAATTCAGTTATCGATTATTCGGTTTGGTTATCATGATTTGAATTAGCGGTTGATGAACACCTCTGGATATAGTTATAGCTGTTGAACCAAAAATTTTCTAGTAGGTGTGGGTCACATTATAATACCTTCAGAGTTTTAAAATAATTTTTAGAACATTTTCTTTTTCAATTTAAATAATTTAATTAATAAGTAGAAAATATTTAAAGATTATTATAAACGTCAAATTATTTAGAACTAGAAATGTAAATAAGTCGGGACTTAGTACCTTATCACAAACTTAACCTACTATACTTAATAAAATAGAATAAATTTATTTTTTTAAAAAAATCTAATTGGAAAGTATGTCATAAATTTATTTTACAAGATTTGATCTATTATATTATTTATATTATTTTTAATTAAATAAATAATATTATTTTTCAATTCTTGGAAATTTTAAACCAAAATTTTCAATTTACCAAATTAGGGTTATGATAAAATATTTTATCGAAATCTGATTTATTTGAATCAAAATCTAATCTATCCTATTCTCTTTACAAGATAATTTTCTATCCTACCGCCGTACCAAACACCGGGTTCGATTTTTGCCTTCTTTACATATAATAGAAATTGACTTTTATATTATAATATTGAGGAAGATTATATTTACAACTTTTTTTTTTATAACTATATCTTATCACTGTTGATTTTCGTCAAACAACAGTTATCATTTTAGCAAATTAAACTCATTAATTAATTATTAATTCACAATAAATGATAACCGTTGATTGACGAAAATCAACGGTGATAAAATATAATTATAAGAGATTGTAAAAAAAAATTGTAAGACTCCACGTAAAAATTTATAACTTTTATATATCATAGAAATTGACTTTTATATTATAATACTTGCATAAAATTTATAACTTTTTTTAAAAATAATGTTATATTTTGTTTTAAGAAAATAACAGCGTCGCTTTAAGCCCCACAAAATACTGATAGCAGCCCCATTCTGTTCTTCTTCAACGAAGAAACAAGCACCCGCACTTTCTGAATACAGGTGCTGCTTCACCGTAGCCTCTCTGCCCTGTGATTATGGCCAAAAACAGGAACAAGAAGAAGATAAACGATGCCGTTTCAATGGATACCACCACCGACCCATCCGTTTCGGAAGCACCTGAAGGTACCTCCTTTACAACCCTCCCTCCTTCCCTCCCTCCATTTACTCTTCTTTAGTTGAAATCAACAACGAAAATATCAAAATTTTAAATCTTTCACTGTAACTCCTCTGCTTCTAATTTCCAAACTAAACCCTAAACCCTAATAATAAAACTTCTTATTACCTTGTAAATCCTATTTTTTTTTTCAACTGTTGGTTTGTATAAAATTTTGGTTTCTGGGTGTGGTTTAAAATTGAGACTTGTTTACTTGCAGCAATGGACACATCAGAATCACGAGCTCAAAACACTGGTGCCGGTGCTACCACATTGTAAGTAACGAATTGCCCTTTTGCACTGATTGTTAGTGTGCATCCACTTGGTGTGCACTGTAAGGTGAAGCTTTGTTATTATTGGCCCTGAAGTTAGGGTTTTCTTTAAACTTTATAGAAACAAATTCAATGCAGTATCATACTTTTATAAAGGAAGGCAGTGATGGCAAGATGGGTAGCTCTGGAATGGTTTTGAAAATATTGAAAATTGGAAAATTTGTCATATGAAGACCATGGATTCTGAATGACATAAATATTAAATCTTAACAGGTCACTTAGCAGGAGAGGCAGGGGCCCCAGTAGTTTCTAGGGTTGAGAGAGTGTTTACGAAGTTATTTGGGTTCTTGGTTTGAAATTCTATCAATTATAATGGGTCCAACAGTGTTCTAGTCGGACTAGTCGGGTAATTGATAAATTGGTGGATATATCTGTTATGGATATGAATATCATATCCCAACTACCCATTTAAGAATCTATTAAGAGATAGATTCATAAGCATCTCAACAACTCTATAACAGTCAGATGGCACAAGATAAGGATCACATCCCAACAGAAAGGGAGTTGAATCATACTGCAATTGGGGGAGCTCAAAGGGCCAAGCCTAGGAAGGTAATCCTATAAATAAGAGCCTAAAGACCGCAGATAAACACTTTTGACCTATTTATGAATACTGCACACACCCATCCCCTTGGCTATAAGCCTATTGCTTGTGCGCAGTGATTGGGACCTCGGCTATAAGCCCAGTATACATCTGATGTACACTATCTCTGAGCGCATACCATACGGTATAGCAATACGGTATATCCAGGACCTAACATTGGCGCCGTCTGTGGGAAAACGATAAATTTCGATTCCCATTCCACGATGACGAACACTCGTTCGACGTCCAGCAACGTCCAAATACCGCCACACCAGTCCGCAACGGAGCAGCTCCAGGCGAGTGCAACACCCGTGCTGGTAGACGTACAGGTCGAAGGGGTCGGCCTTCAGGGACCGACTCCCGAACCCCAGCCCAAGCCACCGCCGAATGTGACCACGATGGCCATGGGTGCAATCCTCCAAAGGTTGCAAGAGATGAAAAACAGATTCCTGACTCAGCAACGATTAGATGCCCAAAGGATGGCGGCATTTGAGACCGAGCTAAGAAACCGGAACGCAGAGGGCCGACCTAGAGGAGCAGGTCAGCTCCTGAATGGTGGATCTCAACATCAGAACGCCGAAGGCGTCCAGCATCAAAACGCTGAAGGCCGACCTGGAGGGAATGACCATGCTGGCGATGGTAGGCCGCAATGTCAGAACGCGGCTACAGTCGATGGAAATGCACAGAACGTGCATAACCCTAACCTCGGCAACAACCAGAATGGTGGAGGTCCGAACGACAACCAGGACGAGAATTATCTAAATGATGAGGAGGCTAATGATAGCCCACTCACTGAGAGGCTCATGAACTTGGCTATACCGTCGAGATTCAAGAGCACCAGGATACCTCCGTACGACGGAAGTCAGGACCCAGAAGCCCATTTAGAGGCTTTCAAGACCGAGATGTTGTTCAACGGGATCACTGGACCTATTAAGGCCGGAATCTTCGCGACGACATTGACTGGTCAGGCGACGACCTGGATAACCAGGCTTCCCAGGAACTCAATCGACTCGTCTGAGGACCTAGCCCGGACTTTCCGACTGAACTTTGCAACAAGCAAGGCGCATCCAATGCCGGCCTATGCTCTGGGAAGAATCCGGCAGAAGGAGAATGAATCGCTGAGGAAATACCTCGACAGGTTCAAGGATGCCGCCCTCTAGGTTCGGGGCTTAACTGAAGCAGTGCACCTCCACTTAATCATCTCGGGATTAGACGGCAACTCTCCACTTGCGAGGTCCATCTATAAGAACCCGGTGAACGATCTGGAAGAGTTCCGACAAAGGTCGGATAAATACATTGACGTGGAAGACATGCAAAAGGTCTACGTCGAATATCGAGGGCGAAGTCCGACACGTCGGAGCCCGAGTAAGAAAAACAACAAAGACCGAGACCAGAGGGGATCCAAAAAAGGTAAGGACACTAGCGATAGGAGGTCGGAAGATCGATCTCCAAGGAGGAAATATGACGATTATACACCTTTGAACATGTCCAGATCCAGGATATGGAAAGAGGTGGCTCAGACCGAGATGCGCAATGTCGAGAGACCTCGACCCCTCAAAGCCAAGAGCGGGCTGGACAAAAACAAATACTGCGCCTTCCATGATCAAAACGGTCACATCACGGATGACTGCTGGGACCTCTGAGATGCAATTGAAAAACACGTCAGAGAGGGGAAGTTGAAGCAATATATCATCCGAACCCAGGGCAAGAATAATAATAAGCGAAGACAAAGAAGCCGGAGCCGAAGTTGAAGCCCGAAGAGAGAGGATAGGAAGGATCCAAGACAAGACCGCCCTGCCAAAGGCAAAGAGGTCGAAGATAAGGATGAGGCTTTTCCCGAAGCCGAATTCGAGTGCAACGTGATAAGCGGAGCCCTGGGCGGGGGAGGAGACACGACCAATGCAAGAAGAAAGTACCTGAAGGAGGTCATGTCTGTCAGAGACAGGCCGACCTTCAAAGGGAAAGCCAGCAATCCTGCCCCCCCAAGACTGTTCTTCACTCAGGAGGAATTAGCGATGGTCGTACCCGGAGATATTGACAGGTTGGTAATCACCGTAGTGCTAGTCAACTGCCGGGTTAAGAGAATCTTCATTGACCAAGGAAGCTCGGCAGACATAATTCTCTGAGACGCTTTCCAGAGAATGAACCTGGACGAGAAGGACTTGAAGCCATGCGTCACCGAGCTGGTAGGGTTCAACGGAGCGTCGTCCCCTCCAAAAGGCTACATTGATTTGAAACTGACTTTAGGCACGAAGGACTCATTCCGAGCTGGAAGGGTTCGTTTCGTCGTGGTAGACACCTCGTCTTCCTACAACGTGATCATCGGCAGGCCTACAATCCATGACTGGGATATGCTGATCTCCACCAAGCATCAAGCACTGAAGATGCCAGGGGCGAATAACGAGGTTATCACCATAAGGGGGGATCAGAAAGAATCTAGGGAGTGCTACTACGAGACCCTGAGGGTACATTAAGGAAGTCCATTATCTCCTCTTCGGCTTAAAAGTGGAGGAGCTAAGGACCAATCGCTAAAGGCATGTGAAAGCAAGGTAAACGTGATTGAACTCGACATGAGGGAGGAGCTCCAAGCACCTCGTCCAGAACCCCAGGGGGAGTTGGAAGATGTCAAGATTGGGAAGAACGGTAAAGGGCACACCAAGGTGGGAAAAAGCCTAGAAGCCGACTTCAAAAAGGAGCTGATTTCCTTCTTAAAGGAAAACTTCGACGTATTCGCATGGAAGGCCTCGGAGATCCCAGGAATAAACCCAACTTTCTGCTGGCACAAGCTCTCCATGTACCCCGGATCGCAGCCAGTGTCCCAAAAGAAGAGGAAGATAGGATCTGACCGATGTCAAGCTTTAAATGAACACGTCAACGAGCTGAGTCAGATTCATCAAGGAGATACAATACACCAAGTGGCTGTCCAACATGGTGATGGTAAAGAAACCAAGTGGAAAGTGGAGGATCTTTCTTGGATTACACCGACCTCAATAAGGTCTGCCCAAAGGACTCGTACCCAATGCCAAGCATTGACCAGCTAGTTGATAATTCATCAGGATTTCAGCTACTATCATTTATGGACGCGTACTCTGGGTACAATCAAATCCCACTACACCCAGACGACAACGAAAAAACTGCCTTCATCTCAGAAAAGGGAAATTTCTGCTACAACGTCATGCCTTTCGACCTCAAAAATGCAGGGGCGACCTATCAAAGGATGATGAACCGCGTTTTTCAAGCGCAAATCGGAAGAAACCTAGAGGTCTACATCGACGACATGATTGTCAAGTCAATGCGTATATCGGCACATATTGCCGACCTCAAGGAGACTTTTGAGCAGCTAAGAGCTCGCAAGATCAGGCTGAACCCGGCCAAATGCGCTTTTGGGGTACCAGCTGGAAAATTCCTGGGCTTCATGCTTACCAACCGAGGAATAGAAGTGAACCCCGACAAATGCAAGGCCGTCCTCGAGATGAAGCAGCCTGAAAGCAGGAAAGAAATCCAACAGCTCACAGGTCGCCTTGCGGCCTTGACCAGATTTTTTCCTAAATCGGCAGAGAAGGCTTTGTCTTTCTTCAAGCTCCTAAAAAAAGAGGCGGAGTTCAGATGGGGGGAAGAATGCAAAAAGGCGTTTGAAAATATTAAGAATTGCCTAGCCACCCCTCCCGTACTGTCAAAACCAGAGCCCGGAGAAACGTTGGTCTTGTACCTATCAGTGGGGGAAGAGGCCATCAGTGCCGCTTTGGTACGAGAGACCGACAAGTCACAACAGCCGATCTACTTTGTAGGTCGGACATTGCAAGGACCGGAACTTCGTTACCAGAAGCTCGAAAAGGTTGCATTCGCCCTGCTTACCACGACAAGGAGGCTCCGACCTTATTTCCAGGGTCACCGAGTCATTGTGTGAACAAACCAGCCCATCAGGCAAGTACTTCACAAGCCGGACCTAGCAGGAAGGGTGATCAACTAGGCCGTCGAGCTCTCAGAGTTTGATATATCATATGAACCTCGACAGGCAATTAAGCCGCAAGCGTTGGCCGATTTCATCCTGGAGCTAACCCCATCTAATGATTAGGGAGAAGGGAATGAAGATCTCTGGACAATATATGTCGACGGATCCTCGAACTCTAAGGGGAGCGGGGCCGGGGTGATCGTTGAAAGCCCTGAAGGAGTGTCCATTGAACACTCACTTCACCTAGCATTTCCGACCTCAAACAACCAAGCTGAATACGAGGCGTTCATTGCCGAGATCGTGCAAGCAAAACAGCACGGAGCAATGAGGATAAAAATCATGAGTGACTCACCGCTGGTTACTTCACAAGTTGAGAGAAAATATCAAGCCAAGGGTCCCCTCATGATG